GAAATAGGCCCCAAAATTGTAGTTTCGTGTAAACCATCATACCGGAAAGGTGGGAGAGCCAGGAAGACGGGGGTTCCCAAAGGGCAGTCCTGCCTGTCTTGTGCTACGGTTCTTGTTTGGCAAGGCCTGCAACAAAACCCGACTGCTCTCAGTACGTTTCTCTCCCATTTGCTGTCCCTTTGCTGGGCATCTGCTTTCTTGGCACCACCTTCATTGTATCTCGCTTCCTCTACACCAATTTTCCCAAGGTAGAGGGACCAAAGCGCACACAGACAGTCTTGCCTGCTATAGCCTCCAGTATTGTCTTTCTGGTTCCAGCCATCCGCATTCAAATAGGTACTTGCTGGCTTAGCTTTCTTCCTAAGTAGAGAGATCCTTGCTTGTAGTGATGCCATGGAAAACCTTCACTATACCCAAATTGTGCATGGCAGAGCTCTGAGAGCCTGGTTACAACAACTGGAATTTAATGTGCTTTATGAGCCTGTATCATTTAACACAGCCATCACGCTGACTTCATACTAAATTCAGTGTAATAACCCACTATTGCACTGCAGCCTATTTTTATTCATATGATATAAGGGAAAGCCATTAGCTTCTCTACCAAGTCCTACACAGCTTCTGGAAAGCCGTAATGAACTGCTGCAGCACTGACATGGGTTTAGCCAGCCCAAGAGCCTTTTGACATGCTGTTAATTGTGAGCCTGACCCTCTGATTTCCTATTTTAATTTCCTCCCACTCTGCATGCCCTGGAAGCCAGCTAGTCGGTACTTACAGAAGACAGATCCTAGAGCACTCTGGAAGCCTATTCTACATTTAATGGGAAATCTTGCTGTGGTGTAAAAGAGAGCTCTCAAAAAACTGCCTATCTGTTAAAAATGCAACATCTTATTTCTGTGAACAACTAATTTGTGTTTAAGGAGGCATGTCCCACGTGTCTAGGATTGCCCCAGGTGGTAATCCAGCATTTTCTGAGCTCTCATCTACAAATTCATCCTGTTACCTTGTAACTAAAAAAGCTTTTTAAAAAATTATACATTTTAGATTTAATGACAAATTTTTAAGAATCATAAACATCACAAATTAATTATCACCTTGAATTATTGATAAAATTGTAAAAAAAAACCAAAAACCTTTCTATTGAAACAGAAGAAAATTTCACTAAAAATTTTGATGGGGGAAACAATAGCTCTTCTACCAGCTCTTCTAAATATGATGGTTTAACAACAGACATTAGCAATAATCTTCGGTGTTCTTTGAAGTCACTGCTCTCACCCTCCTGTGTTTTAATTGAAGACTGATTAGAAAATGAGCACATATACCCCCAAAACAATGTTTTTCTTTTATACACATTAAAGAAATTAACTCATGTAACTGAAGATACAAATTTCCTAATATCATAAGAAATGCATTAATAAATGTAACAACTGAAAGGATGCCTTTCAGAGATGACATGCAACAAATGGGAAAGAGGCTGCCCTGTGCGATGAGTTCACTGGGCGTCAGGCTTGTGTAGCGGTTAGTGGCACACTGCCCTGAGGATCCTGCCTCCACCAACTGGCAGGAGGATGCAAAAGTCACAGTCCGAGCTAAAGAGGGAAACGTCTCTGAACATTTCATGTAATCATTCAAGACCAAAAAGTTAGCGTTAGTTTTAAATAGAGAAAGAAACTCCTCATTGAACAGAAGCTCCTCCTCACAAACATATCCCACACATGAGCACCTGAGAGAAGTAACTGGCTAATAATTAGTTTTGGAGCCAGTGCAATTAAGCTAAATATTTTGGTTAAGTTTAGTTTAAGAAAAGCACCCTCTCAGCACTGCCGCTGCTTTCATAGAATCTCCTCTGATCTGCAATAAGGGTATTCCAAAGCTACCAAGTAACACAAGTGAAAATATATGTTGTGGTGTTTTCATTCATTTTAGTATTATACAAGAGAGAGAAAACAATGTGAATTTTTTTAAAGAGACAACACCTGGCTTTATGTTTTCATTTCAGAACAATATAGGAAGATTATTTCTTACTGGGACAGAAAAAAAAGTTTGTGAAAAATGTCATGAAAATCCCATCTTTAATTACTATTTAAAAAAATATTTTTCTTTTATTCAAAATGTCATTTTGAGATAAATAGTAAGGAAAAAGGTCAGGATTACTGAGTCATTACCTATTTCAAAGGCATTCACCTCAAGTTATTTCTTAGGTAAGCCATTTATTTGAGTTTTAGTTAAGTACAAGGTTAGATATTTCCTCCACTTGTACTTCCAAAACCACAATTGTAGTGACAGTGTCATCATTGTTGCGTGTCGTGTGTCCCGTCTACCCCGCTGCTCCAACTTCTTTTTATTAAAACATGCTAACCAGACACCTTACAGGAGATCTGGTTGAGTGCAATATTCTACAATTAGCTGTCTGGAACTAGTTATATCAAAGTTTGTTTTGCCACCTGAAGCTGACGACAGGATGGAATGAAAACACATCAGTTCCTGCTGTGACACTGCATTTGAACTGGATAAAATATCAAAGCTGTGAAACATCAGGAAGAGACCACAACTGGTACCACATAGCAAGTGTCAGTGGTACTAGCAACATTACCTGTTTTTCTTCCACATTTAAAAGATGAAAAAATCTATCAGTAAAATCATCATGAAGAGAAATAAGTCAGTTTACAGCTACAAAGCATCTTCTTTATCTTTTGTAGATTATTGTCAATCGTTTTCACAAGAAAAATTTCATATTTTACTCTGTGAAAGCAGCTGAATTGTAAACACTCGCTAAAATCAACAGCAATAAATTAAAACCAAGTAATATAATAATTGCAATTCAATATATTACTAGCATTAGTATAAATATTACATTTATCATTCATGTTTACTTTTATTTCTGTTCTGATACTGGTAGGAATTGAAAATACATGTTAGCAGTAAGCCACACTGGAGTATCAAGCAGCTTTTGAATCCAAATATGCATAACCCTTCATATGAAACACACATAATGGTTAAATTGACTCAATTATCCTTCACCTACATGCAGTGAGTCATCATACTAAATATTAAGAAAAAAACTTTTATTTTAAAAATTCCTAGAATCTTTGTGCAGGGACAGCTACCACCCTGTAACAGCACAAGCCCTTTTGCAGGACTTGCAATCTATGCCACAAGAGGGCAACCAAGTTCCACTATAAAATGGATAAATAGTCCTGTAGAATTTAAAAGTGACCATTCATTTTAGCTAAAAGCCGGAATATCTCCCCATGCTAGAGTGGCTGGGAAAAAGCCAGCCACGCACTTAAGTTTGGGGGTGGCGGGGGACCCAACCTCCATCTCTTTTTTCCTCAAACAGCGGTGACAGGGAACTGGTACACATGTGGGGAAAAAGGTGTGTTTAAAGAAACCAACCGTTTTTCTTTTTATGGGATTTTAGTATCTTCAGGTACAGCAAATATCCTGTAATCTTGGGCATCAGCTAAAGCATTTCACTTTACCGACAATAAAGCCACCACAGGCTGGGACATAAACAAATAATGCAAAGTGGCTGTGATATAAGCAATTACTTTATGCTGCAGGTTGAGATGAATTACAAGGAAATCTCTATGACAGACTGGGTCAGTGCAACCATCTCGTTGCCCCTGAGTCTTTTGCTTGTAGTCTGTGAGCAGCTCCAGTGTGACTTCTCATGCTAAGGCTTCAATGCTGCAATACTGGACATTTGGAAAATGCTACTCCGCTCACTGTTCAAGGACAGCACCAAAGATGCTTCATGTGCGGGGAATACCAGTTTAATCTTGCCACATGACTTGGAAAATGTATAGGGCTCTGTTGCCTGCTGTTCTTACCTCACTGCTCAGTCGTTTCCTCTGGAGTGCCAAGCAGCTCTGTCACTGCTCTAGCCACATTTTTCACACCGCCTTCTTCTAAGATCAACCACCCCAGGCAAAATGCACAGTTCTTAAGATTCCCAAATTCTGAACGGAGAGGAGGCAACCTGCTTCTTCCGACCCTTAAGAAGTACAGCTAATACCAGCCTCTGTATCCAATCAGAACTTAGTGCTGTTGAATCTTTTGTACTTCTGAACAGTTGAAGCAGCTACACTCCAAAGAATCCAAGTAATTTTAAATCCAAAAAGCATATTGATGCAGCCTACACATATATTTGTCACACACAGTAGTGTCTTTTGGGCTATGTTGGTAAGGTTCAATATATCCATTCTCTTTTTAGGTTTTCACTTGATGGCCTATTGTTTAACTCAACTATGGCAACATGTTAAAAATATCTGTAACAATACACAGTATTGTCTTCTATGTAAAAAGTACTTTAATATGTGACATTCATGAAACTATCTGAAAAATCTCTCCAAGGTAACAGAATATACTGTTCGTATGAACAGGAGAGATGTTGGAAACCAACCCATTTTACTCACTAGCATTAAGCTACAGCAGTACAACTTATTTGGAACATTACCCCTGTTTACTTCATAGTCAAATCTAAAGAAATGATAAATTTTCTAGTACTATGCAAGACAGTTAAGCTCTACAAGCCTTCACTATAGAGCTCATTACAGACCTTCTGTTAATGGGACTCTGACAAGCATGAGACACAACCCTTACTGCCATCACTGTAAAACATAAAATTCTCTATCTTCCAGGCAAAGCCTGGCAAGAACAGTGAATTTGCAGGAATGTGGCTAACAATTTCATTTAAAGCATAGTTCAAAACAAAACAACAAATAAATGAACAAACCTCCAAAACCTGAAAACTTCCACTAAACAGGCTGATCAGATTATGTCTAACTTGGCAAACCAGAACTTTCCAATAAGTAAACTTTGGCTTCTTGCTTTTTCATACTTCCTCTAAAATGTTCCAACAATTAAAAAACAAATTTTTTGTTAGTTAAAAAATTACTTTGACCTGTAGTATTTTTTAATTTCTCCTTTGGCTAGTTCCAGTTCTGAATGCACTGTTTGTTGATGCAACTAGAGAGAAGCAGAGCAGCAAAGTACTTACTGTTCTGGACTAGAAACTGAAGTCCTTCGTGCTTCCACAGCAATATTGCTCTTGGGTCTCTTAACAACATGAGGTCTTGGCGGGCGAACCTATTACATACACACACATACAAGACATTTCATCAAATACTTCAAGTTGATCAAACAACAGACATAAATAACAAAATATGCATAACCGTTATCTTAAAGGTATCTTCCATTCAGAATTGCTTTTAATCTTCTTTATTTTTTGTGCCACAACAATGTTACAAATGAATACAGATATACAAATGAATATAAAGTATAAATATAAACTACAGGGACCCACAACTTGTTTAAGGACAAAAATCCCCACATTTTTGAATAGCAAATGAAACATATATGCTTGTCACTGACTGTTAGCTATTAGCAAAGCAATGAAAATTTGTTCCACTGTCCTGTTTGGTACAGGCCAAATTTCTGATAAAAGATTCCCTAAATGTGAGCCTCCCCTTGTACAGTTAGTTGATCGAGTAAAATTGGGAAATCCTGTGTGTTGCTGTACATTATATTGGAAAGTGGAGTTCGGCTCTGACACCATGATCCTTTTGTCCACTTGTTCATAGGAACCCACTTCTCAAGTGAAGACTTCTGTGTAAGGGAGCACCGAAAAATTTGTACTTAGAATAAATGTAACAAAAACCATAGCTCATTCTTCATTAAAAATTTGCTTTCTTTCAGCAGCTGAACAGAAACCCTTGCCAGACACGTTATCATTATCACCCCTAACGTTACGTTAGTGTATCTTTTGTGGTCTGTAATAAAATCCAAAGCTTTTCTGTGGAAGATGATGTTGCTGCCAATCCAATCTTAAATAACATAACCATCACCTTCTAATGTTCAGAAATCAAGCTTAATCTACTTGCATTAACTCCACAAGCAAACAAGCTTTACTTCATGGAAAGGAATAAGCACACATGATCACTATACAGGCAAAGTTTATGCACATGCCTACCTATACTAGTGAGTAATCCTCTTGATGAACTTATCCCTTTGAGTCAAATGTGGGAATTAACATTTGCAGCATCAGGGTCAGGTTGTACAAACAAGCTTTCCATTTTTTATTAAGAAAGTACTACCTTACCTGAAATGGAGTCTGATTTGTTGGCTTAGCTGAATGCTACTTTCAACAGAAATCCCCAAAGCCCTCAAATAAAGTTAGGAATACAACTCAACTTCTGACCTCCCTGAGCTTGTGCTCCCTTAATAGCCACAATACAAAGGAAGCTGTTAAAGACTTACAACTTAAGCACTCTTTGGATGACTAATGAATTTGTTTGCAATCATAGAATAGATGCAGATTTCAACCCACCTCTGCAAGTTTGGTTTGGTGTGTGGGTTTTTTTTTTTTTTAATTATTATTTGTTGGGGGGTGGGGTGTTTCTGGGCTTTTTTTTTTTTCATTTTCAGGCACATAAACCTCAAATTTTCTTGCCAGGAAAAACCCACCGGATTGTGTGTAGTGTTTCTGCACTACACAACAGTATGCAGAAGATAGTAGCAGGATTATTGTGTTGAATTTTCATTTCTAAGGAAATGGTGTACAGCAGATACGATGAAGAAATCCAGAGACGTATTGCCACTATTTCTTAGGAAAAAGGGCTTATAAAAAGGTCAGATGTTAAGGTCTTGAAGATCAGTCCCCCACACAAGGCTGCTCCTCTCTACAATAAAGGCGGCTTAAGAATGTGAATTTATGGCAGGAATGGAAGGATTAAGTTTGTGGTAACTTCAACTGAACTTGCAACGTGGTGAAACATGGGGAAAAGAACAACAGAGCTAATTAGACGAGCTGAGCTGTCAGAGTGCGGCTGAATGGCTCGGTGCCAACAAACAAAAGGAATGGGCTGGCAATCAGCAGGATCGATGAAGAATACTGCTTCATTAGGGTTGATAGAGAGAGAGAGAGAGCGAACAAGAGAGAGCGAGTGCGTGCAAGAGAGGGGGGAGAGAAGCAAGAGGAATTGGGGGGAGAAGAGAGCGAGAAGGAGAAAAAGAGAGGAAGAAAGAAACCTGTTTAATTAAATCTGAGCTGGAAGATGATGTGTAAAGCTGGCTTGTCATCATGCTGTGAATACTTTCACCTTTTGGGTGGTACCCTGGGGGAGTGATGGTGATGAGGGAGAGAGATGAGAGTTTTGGATGGCTCCAGGGGGCCACCAGACCAGTAAAGTACAGGGTGACATGCTAAGTAGGATTTAGAGCATTGTTGATGGGGGACTGCAGGGAAAAACCAGGAACCAAGCCAATTCCTTGCTGGATTTTGAGCCGTATGTAGCCACATAGGCAAGGTTAAATGCTTATCAAATGCAAAAGTATGAAAGAAATCCCATTACACAGCCAAAAGAATAAAGGTAAACATCCAGTACAGAAGGGTTAAATGTGCTTATTACTGTCTCCATCAACTTTATGCATAATTATTATATTTTAACTTCTTCTAATTGAATGAAGTTTCCAAACAGCCACTATTAATCCAAACAGATGTCTATTAATTATAAGCAACAACCTCTCTTTTTCATAGTACCACCACAACTCATTTCCAAAACAGCAGAATGTAAAGAACATATCTGTTCTGCTTCCTTAACCTTTCTTTGGTCTGTGTTTTTGTTTTTATTATTAGTAATGACTCATATTGCAAGGACTAGTGCCTGTGGATTCCTCCTCATAACAGAACACAACATCCTGAAAACATAAGTATTTCTCAGCAATTCTGGTATTATGTGGACTTGGTTGGAAGAGCAGAGGGACTTGGTCTCCTCATTCAGTGCTTGCTGTAAAAGGCTAGGATAAATTACTTGCTGATACCCACCTCTGTAATATATGCCAAGACTAAGAGAGGGGAAAAGCAGCCTGCACAAAGTATTATTTACACACACAAAAATGTGTTTCAACTATTAAAAGCCAAATAACAGTTCTGAACAACAACAAATTTATGTATATTTGGTACAAGCATATTTTTGGGAGTGATTATAATCATTTACATTTATCTTGAATTTCCTCTTGATGAATGAAGCGTTTCTGTTCCACTTATTGACACAGCTAGATGAATGCAACGGGAGCTTTTATTATTTCATTTCCAACCTTTTATCAATCACATTGGGAGCAAAGACAGTTGACACAAACACATTATAGTGAGGACTATTAATGCACTACAGCTGGGAGATTAAACAGTCTTAGCAAGACTTTGATGTAATAAATTACTCAGTCTGAACAATACTGTTTAGCAACTTTTGTACAGAGGAATCGCACTGTGCCCTCATACACCTGCCAAACACAAAACAAGAGGCTTATGAAGCACTATGGGAACCCCATAGTACCATGGAAAGTTTGTTCCTAGTGTAACATATCTGGGAGGGTTTCCCATATCAATTATGATTACGAGAACACATATAAGCATAGTCAATGCTATCTTTTAAACACAGAAAACAGAAATCTTCAGAGCAGGAATCCATAAAAATGACTTTGTTAAGCTAAACACCCAGAGTTAAAAAGAGGGAGGAAAAGAAACACATGCTATTGAAACGTAACATAGGAACATGCACCAAAGATCAAAAGTTAACACACACCCAAGTGCACTTGTTAACCAGTTGCCTGCTCATCCAAACATATTTTTAACCAGTTTTAGCAAGATTAGATTTGAAAACTTGCATCTCTCTCTTTCTTATGCACGTACATGTATGTATAAGGAAGCAAGCAGTAAGATCTATTTGCCTTTTGGGGAAATTATATTCATAAAGCAAAAGTCCTGAATAGAAATAAGTATCTTCTAAGGCTGTTGCAAAAAACTACACCCCTTCTAAACTGATACCACTCTCCTCTACTACAAAAAAAAAAAAAAAAAAATCACGAGTGCAGACCCAGCACAGTCTCCAGTTCTAAAGCCATCTGGCATAGTTAATATATAACAATTGTCCTACAGTTGGTGTTTTTAATGAAAAACTGCTGAGATGAGATATCCCTGCCTAATACAGTACAGGTATTGCACTGAGAATAATTTCTCTGTAGTTCTTCTATGGAAGAGTCACTTCCTCTGGCCAACATGCTGTGCCTACATTTTTTTATACTATGTAATTACATAGAGTCCCAGCTTGCATTTTAAACGAATATAAAGTATATATGTATATCATCCATTATGTGGTACTAATGTTCTACCGCCCAAATATAGACTTCGCTTTCTTCATGTGTATTCACTCATCTATTCCATGGAGAAAAATTAAGCGTCCCAAATTAATTTAATGCATAACTTGCAGAGAATAAATAGTTTCTCTTCAGACTTCTGCTTCCTTTCATATTTGAGTTTAGTGCAAGTCTTCAAAAGCTCACTGGCTAAAAACTTATGCCATCCTAGCAAGACTTTTTGTTTAAGAAATCACCGCAAAAGTAAAAACAAACGTTGCAACAGCAGCATCAGTTACCTGCAGAACTGACTGAAAGCTGCAGAACTCGTCAAAGAAAAGCAGAATAAATGCAGGTCCCAGGGCTGTGCCGCAGCAGAGAAGAAGGGAGTTTAGGTGCATAATTCACACATTGCTTTTTTGCAAAGTTTGACAATCCAAAGTACCGAGGTTTAGTAATGCTACTAAGAGCGTAATTCAGGCAGTGTTAAGCTGTGGCAGTGAAACAAAACTACCAACTACTCACGGGCCTAGATGAACGCTGTATCTTTGGAGGCGGTGGCCGAGGTGGACGGAGTCTTTGCTGCTGTATCAAAGTGGAAACTAAATTAAATAGTCACCTACATGAAAACACCTCTGGTTTTGTGGCAAAAGCAGTATGAATGGATGACAACACGTGATTTACCTTAACTTCATACTCGCCCCACAAAATGCAATTTTTAAAATTTCCCTTCTCCTTCTCTCCCCCTCACCCCTCCCCCCCCCAAAAAAAACCAACAGTGACAAATCTCATAGCCTACAAAGTGCCACAATAGGAAAGCTAGCTATCTCTGCCTGTTGATGTAGGCTTAATATAGCTTATGTTAAACCAAAGGTAGCACGATCAGCACTCCAGACCAGATCATCCAAAATTTACTGAGACAATAAAGATGCTGAAGGTGGATTCTTGGACCTGTAGGTCCAAATGTTCTAGACAACATTTATGCAAATAGAAAGAATCCTATATATTCAAAAAAGGATATTCAAAAAAGCTTTCACTAAAATCTCAAGAGTGATTTTAGTGCTTGTGAAAACTTACGGTAAAGGCCTCAAACCAGCAGAGACATTTAAGAGCATGGGGAAAAACCCTAAGTCAATTAAACTTTTCATACACTTAAAGATGAGCACATGTTTAGATACTGTAGGTATCAAGGTACTGGAGCAAAGTGTGTACTGTCATTGTGAAGAAAACTAAAAGCCCCATCACCATCAGTTCTAATGAAGACAGAACAGTGCATTAAGATGCCTATTTTTGTCTCTCATTTTTTAAACTAGCAGTTGGCCAACTCATTGCTTTGTAACACCACTGGAGCTATTCCAATCCAGTTGCTTTTGACTGAGCCAGCAGCATGACTCTCCTCACACAGATGGCATCATAAGGTATAGTCTGTTAGACAAGAAATCCACTGACAATTAATGAGATTCTAAATAAAACCATCCTAAAGTCCGACTTTGATATTGAGAACAAGATTAATGTTAATGTTCTTTCAGTGGCAGCTTGTATACATGTATTTGCACTTCAAGAGAGAAGTAGAGCCCTCAGTGAGGAGTACATGGGAATGTCTCTGAACGCCTGTTGGACCAGACGACGACAGCTGCATCACTGCCCCCAGCCCACAGTGCCTTCCATAGACAAAAACCCATCAGCCGTACAGAGAAGGAATAGGGGCTGGCAGTGGGAGTCAGCTTCTTCAGACGGAAAAAGAAAGCTTATGCAGATTACTGTACTACTCTCCAAAAAAGATTCCAGATTCATGTCTCAGCAGTTCTTAACTTCTTACTAGCATAGTCTTTATTCTAGATTGACAGACATTCTCTCTCAACTACCCTCAACACTGTGAGGGTACAACTCCAGCCTACCCTTTTTCACACCATTTTCATTCTCTTCTTGCATCTCTTCAGACTTTTCTTTCAAATTTCCCATTAAATTATACTTTTGCATCCATTGGTTCATTTCTCCTTACTTGTGTTATCAATGAAGGAGTGCCAGACTGCACACATATACTTGGCTCAGCTTTTTGGGGTGGGTGAGGGGGAAAAAAAAAAAAAGGACACTTGGGATGGAGAGCTGAGGCCAGAATTATTCCATGTGATAGCTTCCCTCTGCATTTTCGAAGAAAGCAAGTATGAAAACAAAGAGAACAAAGAGAGAAATGCCACGGTGGCAAGCTGAGGTGGCTGCCATTAGCCCTACTGAACTGTTTCTCTTCTGTACCTTACATTACTCAATTCAGTCACAGAAGTTGAGTTATGCTGCTGTGTATCTTCCCGTCTTACCTGTTCAGGCTGAGAGCACAATCTTAAAATATATTTAACTTCTGTTATGTGACACAGCATACTTATTTTCCATTATGTTTCAGAAGCGTAATGGAACAGCAGAAAAATCTGAAATTTGCACTTTTCTAGTTACTTAAAAGACATTCACTTACTACCTAGCAACTTAGGCAAAGTAGTTGATGATGCAGAAAAACAAGACGCAATTATTATTCATTTATTTTTTCAAATTTTTTATGCCTCCTGCATATATACTTCCCTTTGTTATTTTTTCTCTTTTACTTACCTAGAAATTGTGAACACTTCTACATTAGAAAATTCTCAGGTAGGTTATTTAGGCGGGAAATTTAAGTATTTTCCTAAAGCCACGGCTAGCAGTGCCTTGAGCACTATTTATTTTCCATTACTATTTTAATTCTGGACAAATATATTTTTATTGATGTAAGAATTACAAGGTATTATTTAACATGTTGATGTTATCATTTCTTCAGTATTAGTTCGTATCACTGAATGTGTTTTTTTTGTTTCAAACATGATACTACAGCCCAGGAAGCTTCTTTGATTTGGGAATCAGTTTTTCCTTTCTGAAGCAAAAGCCAGGATAATTTTTTAGGAAACACTGCAAGACTGTAGCATCAACAGTATTAGCTGATGAACCAATGGCAGTATTATTAAAGCTTCTGAAAAAAGTGTGACAAAGGCAGGTCCTTCAGAGAGCAAGACAGACAGACAGCACAGTAGCTGAGGATTACCTCCCATTGAGATGGTCAATACATTGATTATAGTCACTGCAAGGACATGTACAACTGAACTTTACTTACCCATCCACGTACTCACTGGAAGAAAAAAATTTTTCTGACAAAATGTGTGACAGGATTTGTTAATTATCTGCCATATCACTGTTTGATTAGACAATGGCAAAAAAATCAAGTTTTAAATATTGGGGGGTATCTGAAAACTACACTTTGTATTAAAGGAGTCACCAATATTGGTACCCTTTTCAGCTGAATTATCAATGTGAACTGAAGAATATCCATACACAAGTAAGAGAGTACACAAAAGAGTAAGAGCACTAGATATTCCAGTACAATGTGGAGGAGTTTAATAGGACTACCATCTCATTGCATACTCCTTGCCTGTAGCCAAACCACATGCAGCACTAATATTTTACTCCTGTTAGTCCTAATTGACCAACAATTACAAGTCAAACCCTACCATCATGATGTTGGCCTAGAACTCAAAACTATATACACTTCTTTTTTTTCCTTTTGGTCTCTGAGTGATAAGCATAAGCCCGTGTTGCTTTCAATTTTTCTCTCATTTCAAGAGAGTCAAAACCTCTCTTTTTTAATATGAGCTGTGATGCTCATTTAATTACTCAACTCCAGGACCAAGGACTACTGAAGACAGAATTTCTCAAGGTTTATGATATACACATGAGTTATCTACACTTACTGAGATTACCTCAGCTTCCATTTTATTTAGGGATTGTGAAGTGACATAGATTTTTAAAAAAATGTTTATTTATTTGCAATTCAGATAGGCTTTTTTTTAACACAATATAAAATCATAAGCTCAAGTGTGATGTCATACCTGCAGTCATCTCTTCCCAGCATTCTCCTCCTTTTTACTAAGCTTTCTATTGGCATCAGCATCGATTCATCTTGCTGCTCTTCCAAACTTACCTTTTCGTTGACTGAACTCTCCTCTTCTCTTACTGAAGTTATCACATGACAAATCAATGCCACACAGACTGACGTCTTGAATTCCATGTGGAATTCAGTCCAGCCACAATTTACTAATAAATCCATAGCTTTGAAGAGTCATAATCCAAACTGCTTATGAATCTACCCTAACAAAAAACCAATCATAACTCAAATTCATGACCTTGCTACAAGATTTGCCAGTGAAAGAAAGGACGGATAGCTGCTTTTTCACTGTCATCTGTTGCATCAGCATCTTGAGAAGCTTTCCTCAGACAGCAGTTAAAATTCTGCATCTCTACTGAAAAGTCTCTTGTTTCTCCTCTGGAGCAGATGATACTTTTCTCTGCAAGTGGCAAGATACTGGACAAGACACGATACAGAAGGTGAGTCTACACAACAAGCAGCACTGATACACTCCAGCAAAAGTTTCAACTGGCTCATTTTTGGTCAAGGTTCTGTACGCAGAATTCAGTTAGATGGAAAAGGAAGGAAAGAAGGAGGGAAGGAAAGGGAAGAAATTTTTTTCCTTTCCCTAGATCATAGTAAGTTTTCAGACAGAATGCTCTAGTTTGCCCAAGGACAGAACAAGCACTTGCTAGGGCACATTTTGTGCAAGTATCATTTTAGTTCTATGTAAATGAAAATAAAAATTACCCTATATATTCATGTAGAAGCCAAGAGTTTCAAGCTGAAATGCAAACTCAGGTAAGGAGAAGACAGTGGGACTTGCAGGCAAATAAGCAAACTATCACATAAAAACTAGCTGAAGAAAATAGTTTCACAGGCATATGACTTGTTCCTGATGCAAAATCTAGAACCAGTTATTTGGTGTACATACCAGAGGTAGGATTTCTCTCATATTAGGTTTCTGTTTATATGCAGGTCAGCACACGGGGTGCATGTAATGCTATCACAAACTGGAGTCAGGGGGGCAGGTCTGGTGAAGGAAAGGAGTTATAACTCAGCCAAATACCCTCCTAAAATGAGATCCCAACAGTGCTTTCTGAACAAGCAGAAAGACAAATGCTGAAGTTTTATTTTCAAGGATGCTTAGGTCTAGGAGCAGCGCATGCATAAACTACATCTGCTCCCAGAGTAGTGCAGGCAGTGGCAGAAGTCACATAATCCTCCTAAGAGCTGGACTAAGGCAGGCTCTTTGTACCCATGCACTGAGCTAACCGAAACCAACTGGTCCCACAGTCCAGACCTAAGGGCGATAAGGTTAATACTAAACACAGTGGCTGAGTTAACTACAAAAACTGGAGAGAAGAAAGGGGTTTGGTAAAGCAGGAGAACACACAGTCAGTTGGCATTTGTACACAAAGGGCCTCTCTATCAGACATTTCCTGATGCTACTGATCAAACAGAGGCAGTTTTCTTTGGGTGATGGTTACAGGCAGATCTATGCAGTAACAATGAACTACTCCTTTGCAGGAGCTAATACTTTCATACCCTTATCCTGTGACTGTATTAGTTTTTCCAGCTGAGATTTAAATATCACATACGATTAAGCTTTCATCTCTGATCAAAAAATAATTCTATGTGTTTCCACAACAAAGATACATAC